AGCAAGATGAAAACATTGTGCATGCTATGTGAACACATTGTGAACTCGTGTGCACACTTTGTGAATAGTATCTCTCAAACATCTCAAAGAAATCAGTGCATTTGTCCATATCAAATATATATTTCTTTAAAGAAATCACTTCTGCTAGAATTTGTTTCAGGCTTGATTTCTTTTGTTTTGTGTCGACTTTAATGGATTTCTCCTTCTCTTTTAGTGCTTTTAACTTGGTGCTGAAGCTCTTCTACTTGAATCTTTTCGTCTTATTTTCTAAATATTGCTCTAGCTTACTTGGTTTTCTCCTTATAGTTGAAAAAAATATGGAAAGACATCATCCGAGCTCAAGGAGCTGGTGGATCGAAGCTCTCAACGAAGTGGCAATTGAGCGAGAGGGAAGAGAGACTTTTTAGGGTCATAGAGATGGTAGGGGAATTCTGTTATATGGATGTATGAATCGTGAAAACGTGCATTTTAGGAGAGAGATAGAAGATTTCGTAAGTGATGAGTTGTCATTCAAATTATCAATTATAAAACACCCTTTTGTTAGTAAGTAATAAATAAAATTAACTACTTTAAATGAGTGACTTACATTAGATCTTACGAATCTTAAAAAAAATCATATAATTAAATCTCGATATATATAAGGATACTCGTGCAATGCAGTGAGATAAATATTTATTTTCAATGTTTAGTTTTTATTCTTTTTCTCTATTGATTTAATACAATTTTATGTGGTTTTAAGAAAATGATAATTTTTTTATTTTTGAACGAAATATAAATTTGAAAAAAATAAATCGATATTAGTATCAAATTAACTATTTAATAGTTTTTTTGTGTGTAACTTCTTTAATTCAATTTAGATTTAACAACAAAGTAATTTATTTTTGGTTTAACAATATTTTTTTTATAAAGATAATAATTAACATTCTGTTAGAACTCGATTATTGTTTTAATTATATTTTAGATTTTCTATATTTAAAGTAGATGTTTATTTTGTATTTGAGTATATTTATCTGCAGTTAGTTACACGAATTTAAAAATGAAGCTTTAACAAGTTGTGCTTATGTAAAATTACTTGTAATTTTGAATTTTAAGTAATATGCATCAATAACTAGTACTTCATGCATAAAAAATGGTTTTTAAGAATATTTTCAAATGTTTTATAATATAGTATATATATATATATATATATATAATATTTTTAAATTAATAGAAAAATGAAAAAAAAAGATATAATAACTAAAATAACTTATAGAATACTAGAAGAGTACTCGCTCAATGCAGCGAGTCACATTTCGATTTTAATGTTCTATTTTATTATTTGTCTTTGTCGATGTTATAATACGATTTTATGTGTTCTATAAAAGCAATAATGATTTTATTTTTTAATAAAATATAAATTTGAAAATATCATAAAAATTTAAAAAAAAATATTAATGTTAATATCAAGTCAACTATTTAAAAGTTATCATTTTTATGTAATTTCTTTAATTTATTTTTTATTAT